TGCAAATCCTCTTTTTCCTAATTTTTTTATAATTTTTAATTCACTAAATGGAATCTATCTTATTAATATTTTATTTTCGTTCAAAAATTTTTTAATGAAATCATCAATATTATCGTTATTATAATTAGTTGTTTTTTGATATTTATTGACCTTCGATTTTTTTAACCATTCATTAGCCTTTTTCTTATTAGGTAATGTTCCAATGCCATTTTAATAATATAATCTATATTGTCTATTAGGATGACCACCTTCTGCAGATTTTAAATACCACTCAAATGCTTTTTTTTTCATCCTTAGCAGTGCCTAGACCATTGTCATATAAACTTCCAAGATTATATTATCTGATAGAATCACCACCTTCAGCAGATTTTAAATATCATTCAACGCCTTCTTTTCATCCTTAGTGGTGTTTATTCCATCATTATAGCAAAATCCAAGATTACATTGCCCAAGAGAATTACCACCTTTAGCAGATTTTAAATACCACTCAAATGCCTTCTTTTCATTCTTAGTTGTGCCTATAACATATTAATAACAAGCTCTAAGATTACATTGCCCACAGGAATCACCACCTTCAACAGATTTTAAATATTACTCAAATGCCTTTTTTTATCCTTAATAGTGCCTTTGCCATATTGATAACAAATACCAAGTTCAAATTGCTTATAAAAATCACCACTTTTAGCAGATTCTAAAAGTATTCTAAAATCGTTCATTTTTATTTATAGAATTTTTTCACAAAAATTATAATTGCAGAATCATAGGCATATTTAATTATAATAATAATAACTACTTTTAATATGTTTTAAAATAAGCAATTCAGGCATGCAAGTGATAACAACTAGTGATTTTACATCAAGATTTGATGAAATTTAGCAATTATAAATATATTTAAGATATATAAGCGTCCATTTTCTAATTCTCTTTGTACAATTTAAGATTACTTTAAAATTTTTAAAAAATTTGAAATATTCAAATGATAATTGCATACCATATTTTCGCGTAATAATGCCTATAAGCGTTATTTAGAAAATCGTACCCTTTAAAAATATATACATGGTCTCAAAATAATGCTCATACGCATCCCTAAATAACACGCACCCCCGTATATAATCAGTTGCAAACTTGTATTTGTTTGCTTCATTTTAAGAATCTCAACTGCTGTAGGTCTTTTATTCATATCAGGATCAATGCATCGTTTGGCTAATTCAACATAACATTTTGGGGCATCTATATTAAATACAGGTCGCAAACCATTACAAATCTTTATTGATAATTTAGTATTAAAATTGTATCATCGAAAGCCCTTTGACTAGTTGATATTTCTAATATAATAATCCAAAACTGTAAATATCAGCAGCTTGAGTGAATCGTTCGTCTTTCAAGACCTCAAGTACTAAATATGGCAGAACTCCATAAAATGATCTTTTTTTTCATCAAATATTATTGATAAATCTAAATCGGTAATATAAGCTTTATATTGTTTTTTTAATAAAATATTACCTGAATGTAAATCTTGATGCATAAATTTCTTTGAATGAATATGTGGTAGGTTATAAACAATATCGCATAATATTTTTAATTTAATTTTCCACCCACTTAAATATTTCTTTAATATTTTCACGCAATTATCCAAATTTCATATAACTCATCACTAAAATAAAATATTCAGTATTCTTATCTATTGATATGCCATAATATTTCTCAAATTTGTGATGCGCCTTTAACTAAAATTGACAAATTACCAGATATACAATTAATTCATAAACAATATAAATTTACGTATATAAAAAAAAAATACTTCGTTTAAAAAAGTTGATTACTTTTATGTGAATCATTTATTATCCTAATTGCAATTTCTTCATATGTTTCATGTCGTCTTTTATATGATGTTTTATACACTATGAAAACCCTCCTTTACATACTTCTTCAATGTTTCTAAAATTATCGTATTATATCCAACCGAAATAGTTATTAATACTATAATTATATTTCATAACAGATGATTTTAAATACCATTCAAATGCTAAATTTTTATTTTTTTCTACTCTCATACTGTTCTGAAAACATGAACCAGCACCATACATTCCACAACAATGTCCATATTCAGCACTTTTCAAATAATATTCAAAGGCCTTTTGTTCATCTTTTTCAACTCCAGTTCCATATTCATAACAACATCCAACATTATATATCGCACCAGCATGCTCAGTTAACTTCACTGGATATTTTAGTAAAGTCTAATAGATTGTTGATTTTTTCTGGTCATTTGACAATTAATATTTTGACGCAATAAAACACTGAACACATACAATAGTGTGGTAGATTTTTACTTGTGTAGTTTTTATGTTCTCAAAAAAGTACTGATTTTTATCAACAGATTAGCAGGTTACATACTTGAGAAAGGTACGTACGTACAATATCTACAAGTTACCAGAAAATCAGCCCTTGTTTTAAAATAACGCCTATGTGCGTACTCTAAATGACACGCATATACTCAAAATAACACACGGTGGGTGTTATTACACGAAAATACAGTACAAGTAAATAAATAAATTATCTTAATATTAAAGTTTGAAGATATTATCTATTAGCAAAAATTGCAACTCAATTTTTTAGATAGCAAAATTTGATATAATGAATTGTAACATTTAAATTTATCTATCATTTTGGTTTTGAAGCTTTTTTTTAAGTCATAGTGTTGGAAATTTTGAGCTATTTTAGAAAGGGTATTAACAATGTTCATTAAGATGTTTGAGTAATATCAGAGTTGTTTGCTGAAAAAAAAAATCTATCAAAAACTTTAATTATAGATTTTATAAGGGATATGTATAATTTGATAATCTATCCTTTATACTCAATGCATTTTTTTTTGCTTTTAATATGAATATTTATGTTAATCACAATAATAAAATCCTATATTCGCTACTATATTACTGTATTGCACTCAGGTTGGAATCGAATGATCATTCAGATTATAGTCCAAATTATGGATCAATATTAAGTTTTCAATTAGTTTTTTTTCAATAATAAGATTTTATTTTTCATTATTATTGCTTGATCGAATTCTTATTACGAAGAAAAAAACACATGGGAATTGGAATCGCAACTACATAGTACTTTGAAAAGAATCATTACATTATGCTTGCTTCTTTCTGTCTAATTATATATAATAAATTATTGCTTGTAACCATCATCTTAACAAGTCATATAATTTTAAGAATATCTGATTGATTGGGTAGGACAAAATGACAAATTTTGAACCAGCTAAAGTCATGTCATTTTGTATATGAAAAACTTATTCCTCTACAACATCACAAAAAAGTCATAAATCAAACTTAGTTTAATCATTTAACTATATTAACCTTACACTGCAGTGGCAAAAAATGCTTATACAAGTTAATCATTAATTAAGTGGCATTAATTACTGGGACATGATTATAAAGCAAAATTTATATCATATAGTTACTGAGCTGCAAATAAGATCCTTGCACTACTAAGTAGCCATGATGCCTTATATTTATTAATACTTATCAGCAATAAGATACTTACCTAAATTAAATCATTAATTGGTAGTCATTGCATGATCATACTAAGCAAGCATGGGGGACATTTGTATCCGATGATTTCCGAGATCAACATTATATAAGTATTTATACAGAATAGTAGTTTAAAACCAGAAATTTCGGGTATAAGTAAACTTTTAAAAAACAAAACCAATTATGCAATACTTTACTAATAAAATAGCTTCGTAGGGAACGTTTTTTCAAGAAACTTAAGTTGCATCATGCTGCATCACGCTGAAAAAGGTTGTTTTGCTAAAGGTTGAAGTACTATCTACTTTATAGTAAGAGGTAATAAAAGTATATTGTATTGCTCAATTCACAAAGTTCAACGTTGTTTTTGCTGGTTTTTTTTTTTGTTATTTAAATTATTAACTTGGTAACTTTTATTTTTGAATTTCCGCAGGCTTATTTTAAAGATATGATATTTTTTAAAGATATTTAACACAATAGAATTATTTAACATATACAATAGCAATAATATAATTTTATTAATAATTACGTAAGATTTTAAGGAAAACTATTGAAGGACATGTAACTGGTTACTAAAAACCTTATAAAATAGAATGTTTGCAATTGTAAAATTGCTATTAGAGTGTAAGTGAATAGTCTAATTCTTTTACAACGTGAGTTATTGTACTTTGAAATTAAAACGAAAGAAATTATAATAGATAAATAATGCCCGTTGATTGGCTGCTTAGTTCAACGATTATCTATCTGTTTTGATCATGTGTTGGTAAAGCCGGTTTCTGATTGGTCAAAAATCTTATGACAAAGCCAGCGGCTAACCAATCATATTTCAAGATCGGGTGTAACGTAAAAGAAACGCGAAAAAATCAAAACAAACCTGTGCACTAACAAAAAGTTTTTTTTTCTACAAAATTATGAGCGTAAGTTGTGTAGACTCTATTGTAAATAAGATATCCCAGGACAAAGACCGTAAAAACACCATAAAAGATCAAATCGATGAATTAGAAACGCTTGTTCAATGGCATGGCCTTGAAGACACGCAAATAGTTGAACTTTTGGAAGTTATTATAAAGGGGAAACTTGGTGAGCTTTAATTGTGTTATAAAACGAATGATTTTAGTAATGCTATGAATATATAGCTCAGGCTTGTTGTCCCGGCTTTTAATTAGACGATTCTGACGTTAGGAAACTAATCAAACTCCTTGTACCGCGTAAGAAAGTATCTGAAGTATCTGTAATAAAAATTTTTGGGAATCTTGGAAATAGAAATGTGAAACACAGCATACAGGTTTTTTTTATCGGTTCATCTATTGAAAAACCGGTGTTCTATTATTGTCAGTATATCAGTATATTAATCAAATATTATTCTAATTACAAGGCACTTTTACTTCGTTGGGTTGTGTTGGTTTATGACTTTATAAGGGACCACTCAAAACTTCTTAGACTTTATGGCGTTATTTTTCATTATTTGGAATATACTACTTTAAGGTAACCTAATAGTTATCATTATTCTATAATGATAGTTATCATTATTCTATAATGAATAAAACAACATCGATGGTTATTTTCTCTTTATATAGGCCAATTCTCTGTCATCTCTTATATCTCATGACGCGGAGGGAACACGTGAAATCATATCGAATACGCAAATTGTAATTGCTTGATTCACATTAATACGCATTTATTATTGATTACTTATGTTTTTGGTTAATCATCACCATCTTAGGATGGAATTACAGACACGGACTGGTTATGAACCCCATATTCAAGGGTTATTAAAGCTTTATAAAGATTATTTTCCAAATTTAGTGACAATTAATATTCAGCCTTCAAGAAGTATTATATTTAAGGTTGAAAGATTTATTTATGTATTAATTTGGAAGGCATGTAAGAAATCTGCCAGGTTTTGTCGATCATTCTGCCTAGGTTGATCGACATCGACCTATATTAAATTGATTCTAAGGCTAAAGTTGGATTTAGGTTAGGGTTTGATGCGGATTCAAGCTGAGGAATCTTTTCTTGTTAGAGCACGAAAAGCTGTTTCATAAGCAAAATTTTGAGATAAAAAAAAATTTCATAATTTTGTCGATCGTGATTGACAAAACTCGACACAGAATTCTTGCATGCATTTAAAGAACGTTTATCCATAAAGACTCTAAAGCAAAAAAATTTTTAAGTGCCCCGATATAGCATGGTCTCAGTTAATAAACCAAGTTCAGAGAAGATGGAATAGTGACAAGTCCTTATTGAGTCTACCTCTTGCAAGACCAACGATTCCAAAAATAATGGTTGGTACCTAACCATAATAGTAAAAGCCTTTTATAGAGTTTTATATTTATTCATATTGATTGTATCGATTTAGGAGAAACGAAGGAAAATAGAACATAACGATATACCAACTGCGCGCACGTATAATGTCACACAAGTAAGGACTATAAAATACAAAACACGGTTTTTTAGTTGATCAAAACTAACAACCATGGTCATTCAACATTTTTGCACTATGAGAAATCGGTAACTCTTGACGAAATGTCAGATATCAGGCAACTCGCAAGTAATATTGATAAAATCGAGCTACCAAATCAATTGGCTTCTATTTTGGACAGTCGTATGCTTCAACATGTCATAGTGTTAAATCCAGAGAGTATGCAAATTATATTTTAATGTATATCAGAAAAGTCGATGTTATTGATATCGTGATCTTATTGTTCGTAGGGGTTGCCATTGCAAGAATAAGTTATTGGATTGATCAATATCTCATGGATCTAGTTTATTGGAGTGATCAAAACACGAATACGAAGATGAGATTTGATTGCTTGTTGAATAAATTAATTACTATGACAGAGTTCATGAAGGTATAATTTTGTGTTTATATGTTTTATAATACACGTATTGTTGAAAACATGTTATTTTGTCTGTAGGAATTACTTCCCGGTATTCAGGAGTTCTTAACGAAATATATTCATTCTTGGGATGGTGGAGAATATCAAGATCTAATTTTCAGACTTTTGACATTCTTAAGGCCAGGACCTTATAACCGTCGGTTTTTGTTATATTTAAAGTTAATACAGTTTATGATTGCAGATTTAATTAATTATGGATTGCATTCATTTATTTTTAATTGTTATCTTTTAGAATTTTATGAAAAAATTTTGAAACCATTACAATTTTTATATTGCAATTCATCGCCTGGTTGGAAGGTTTGCATTCAATGATATATCCGTAATATATTGAGCAAAATTAATATTTTTCATTAATTTGTTTGATTAGTCCAAATTGATTCGTTGTTATACTGATTTGCTAAAGTATTGGACTTTACTTTACGAAAGCATGAAACAAGGAAATATTGATAATGATGACGAAGATTTGTAAGAAAAATAATCAAAGCTTTTTGCATTTGACATACAATTTTGCTTGCTATCTTTTTTTTTTTTTTTTTTTGATATATATATGGTTAGAGACTATTCTATTGAGAAATTGTCAATTAACGGAAATTATTCTCAAACCATACTCAATTTTATTGATTATGTTGACAGAACCATCCTGAATGTGCCTGAGGTAAGTCTTCATCATGACAATTTGCAAATTTTTGTTGTAAATCGTTTAAATCACTTAATTCTTTATCACAGGATGAGAATCAAATAGAAGTACAACACGCTATTTTATCTTTTATGGAAATTTCAACACTTCTACAACTTAAATATGAATTCCACAATATCGTCTTGCCATCATATTCAATCATTTATCGTTCTTTTTTTTCGACTTATGGAATGCCTTTATCACGAGTTTGTGGCATTATTCTACGGTAACGTGATATTTATCTATTTAATTATTGCTTAATTAGCTTAAATTTTGATATTTGATAATTTTGATAGATATCAAGATGAATTCGATAAATGCGAGCAGGATGCATCCGTATCTAGTAGTGCGTTGCGTTACAGCATCAATCAAATCAATTATTTCAATTCTTTTGTAACGGATTTATATAATGGGATTTGGAGAAATAGACCTTTTAGCAAATTTGATAAAAATGCTAAAGGCTTTCAACTGAATGAGTAAGTCATTAGTTATTTACTTTTTATGTTTTTTTATGCCTTTTATACAATATGATACGAATAATTAACGTCTTACCATTAATCTAGTGATGTCATCTCTCAAATACAAAGATTGTGCAGTGAGTCGTATCCAAGATGCCTATCATTGACTCATCTTCCGTCCGTGTCTTTAATGTCCAAATGTTGCTCTCAGGTACTTCGAATATCAACATTTTATATATGGAAATATTGTGATATAATAAATATGGGTGTCGTCAAGTGAACCTGTCACCTGGCTCTTAAATTTATAAGTTACCAGGCACAATAAGCAACAAACTTGAAACCTCGATGACGGGTTTTCATTGGTTGCACCCATACAAAAAATTTATATTTTATTTAACATTAAGATTTAAAGCTAAAGAATCAAGTGTAGGCGACTAAGATCATCTTAAAATAATGCGTCGTTTTCGTTGATTCTTTTTATTTATAGATCTTTATGTTATATAAATTGTAATTTCACTTTGTTAATAATTTCTTGAATTTTAATCAAAGGCGGGTGGATTCGAAATGTCATACAATGAATGTCAGGTTCATTTTTTGGAAAAACTGTTGGATAATGGGTTTGTGGGTTTGCATTCGTTTTTAATATCACTTTCTACTAGGGCTGTGGCCCAAACATTCTTTTAAATAATGATAAAATATTAAATAAAGAGAATTGCTATTTCACTTCTATTTTTTTAATGCCACCTCCCAGATATTAAAAAATGCTTTTAAAGAGGTATTATTATTGTATAAATCTTTTTTGTTTTTAATAAAAGTTGTTTATTAGGCCTTTTTTGTTTTAATGGTAGTAAAATTATTAAAATTGTTTTTTTTAAATATAAATAAAGTTAGCTAACTTCAAATATAAATATTTTAGGAATTACTAGTTTAATTTTAATGATTTTATTGCAATTAGAAAGGTTTTTTTAATAATAATATTTTTTTTAAAGCATTTTTTTAAATTTTGGAGTGTTATTAACAAAAATGGGGTAGAAATAGCAATTTTTTAAATAAATTAATATGTTAGATTTAATAATTATAATAATAAATACAGTTAAGTAATTTGTTAAAAAAAGAAAATATTTAAAATAAAAATAAGGTTTATAATTAAGGAAATTCTATTTTGACTTGGGTCAAAATGATGTCTCTCAGAATTTAGAGTTAGTGCTGGTCAGAATTATGTTAATGCCGGCCGGTTTTGTATATTAAAAAAACCAGCTGACATCAACATAATTCTGGTCCGCACTAACCTTAAAATTTTGCTAAAAGTCATTTTGACCTGGGTCAAAATAGAATTATCTTATAATTAATATTTTTAAATTAATTTTAGATTTAGAAGTATTTTGATTAGAAAAATTTTTTTTTTTTTCACTTAGACAAAATTGCACCAGTGATCGATATTTAATAAAGTTTCAATCTTGTAAAAGATTACAAGTATATTACTATAACATTAAAGCTATGATCTTAACATTCTACAGCTGCTTCAAAGAGTGCCCATTGGTGATCTGCCATACCGGCGAGATAAAATCAAAAAGTAATATCCTAACCAGAGGGCTCATCTAACCTACCGCTCTACAATAGGATACCGCCAATCTGATGATATCTTCTCGTAGAGAAGTGAAAAAAAAAAGAAAAAACTATAAGAAAAAAACACAGAGGTATAGGGGGATATGATAAAAGATACAAACAAGAAAATAAAGGGGTAAAGAGAAAACGTGAAAAAAAATAAATGTAAGATATTTTACCCACACCAGACGGTCACAATTATAAGCCTGTGTCAGGCTTTGTAAAAATTACATACTATTATCTAAACTAGTCTCTACTCTAATTTAACTAATTAGTATATTTAAGCAAAAACCTAAAGGAAAAAAAGTTCTTCGACATTGGCACCATATTCTAGTACTATAAGCTTTCCAGCTTCTTTTGTTTAAACACCTATAAAAGCATAAACAAAAGCACACTTCGGGCACTATAGAGAAGTTGGAAATTTGCACAGTTGGTCTCGAAGCATTGTTTGT